TGAAAATTTTTCAAGTTCAATTTATGACATGTAACCATAGAAACCATAAAAGTTACAACTTATGTTGGTGAGATTAAGCCTTTTCATGCGATGTTAACCGTGAAAGAGAGAATTTATTTAGTACTATGCTATGGTACTAATGCATCATGTTTTCGTGTAGTTATACAAAAATTCCAGCAAAAATATCCGGACACAAAAATATCTCATGTTGGGGCTCGCAAACTGATGAAAAAATTTTTGGAAACGGGTTCTGTATTATCCATAAAGAGGCAGACAAAGAGACTAAACGAGGAAGACGCTGCTTTTCAGATAGCTTTTCAACAAATGACATTGTTTCTTCCCAGCATTGTCGTTATTGGAGCGATGTAAATCCAATTACCCTTAAATTTTATACGGTTTTATACTTTCAGCAAGACAGTTGCCCAGCTTACCATTTACACATTGTGCCGAATGGTTAAAATTACAATTTCGTCAAAAGTGGATTGAACGAAATGGTCTTATTTGATGGCCAGCACGTAGTCCTGATCTTACAATTATGAATTTCTGTTTTTGGGGACGATTGAAACAAATTGTTTACAGTGAACCATTACAAGATTATGCAGAACTATTAAAACTAAGAATAATTAAAGCGATAGAATCTCTACCACTGGCGGAAATTCGTACTTCTTATAAAGAATTTAGAACTCGTCTTCAAATGTGTGCCGAATTGGGAGGGAATTTGTTTGAATGAGGATTTTTTGTTCACTTACAAATAAATAATATTTTTTACTTACATAGTGTGTGATTACATAAATTTACATTTAAAATATTTTATTCAATTACCCATATTTTAATTTGATTTGTCCGTATATTTTTTACTAAGTTGTAACTTTTACTTTATGTTATTGGTTTCTATGTTACGTATCGTAAATTGAACTTGAAAAATTTTTAATTTAGGAAAAGTATAATTTTTACATAAAAATGGGAATAATTAGTTAACTTCTATAGTTAGACTATAAAGTTCGTGCGATTTAGTAGTTTGAACATATCCGACGCATTATTTATGCTGAGATAAGTTTGACAAATCAGTAACCAAAATTTTTTTTCTCTTTGTAACTCGATCCAGGGACATACTGTAGATAAGTTTAGTTAAATCATCGTATTTTTGGGGAAGGTACTTGTGGTCTTCCGTTGTACAGGGTGGGCAAATTTGGGTGTTATTATAGGCGATCTCAGAAACTATAAGAGATACGAAAGAAAGTAGGTGCCATGTCCCGGTCTCTTTTTTCGAGACTAACCCAATCCCGCAAACACCAAACCTCTATCTTCTTTTGTTTTTAAGTTATAGCCAAAAAGTCAAATTTTCGTGATTTCAAAAAATATGCTCATATTTCGTTTATTTTTGAAATTAGAGAAATGGGGTTGATACGTTCTTAAGATACTTTTTTAAGTAGAATATACTGCCTTTGAAAAATTTTAAAAATAATTTATGATTTTTGAGATACAACACAAAGTTGTATTTTTTTAAATGCAAACTATACTTGATTATGATGTTAATGAAAAGACCATATTTTTAGCTTTCCAATGATGTATCGCATGTATGGTGTATTTGCAGAAAATAAGCGTTAATTTTTAATTCGAAAATAGTAAGCGCTAAAGTTTAAAATTTTGATTATAGTGTGCGGGTTCAGACAGTAATTACTAGCTAATTGCTGTATGGTTTTGCACGAATATGACAGAACGTTGGTCTTATACCAGTATGCAGGATAAAGTTGGTTTTGTACCAACGAATAAAAACTTTGAATAGTTGATTTAAATTTTTCAGTGTCTTATCCCTGACTTTGTTCACCTATAAAATATTATTTGTAGACAAGGACAGTAGAATCTAACAGGACTGCTACAGGAATCTACAGGACTGCTGTCTATGTGTTTGCTGTGTATTTTTAGAGGTTACATCTTAGACGTATTCATATTATTTTTGAAGTTTTATGTTTTTAGACGTATTAATGTCTATCATATAACCTCTAAAAACACAGACAGTTACCAGGCGTGGCAAATAGTGTGACGTAGAGTGCGGGCAACCAACCCGTAGTGGATTACAAAAATACAATGGATGTAGCAGTCCTGTTAGATTCTACTGTCCTTGATTTGTAGATAAAGTTTGTTTATTAAAAATACAAGAAACGTATTAATTAATGAATAAATATGAACAACAACTTCAGGAACTAAACAATCACAGACTGTGTCATCTTCTTCTACTAAACTTACTGGTTGTAAGGTTAGAACAGTTGGGTATCAATGAATGAAATCTTCGGTAGTATCTTCCCAGTTTTCCCCAACCATGAGATTTAGAAGTTTTTTCATATTAGCAACCTTTTCTTTTGAAATTGGGTGAGATAGAGGAAGATAGGGATCATAAACTGGGCAGCAGACTTTCAGCAGATATGGAGCCTTACACAGGAAAAAATCGTGTCGTGTAAAAATTTTAGAGTAGTTGGTAAAAAGAATTAGAGTAAAAATTGTAATATCACATGGTAAAAATAACTCTAATGTACACTATATTTAATATTAATATAGAGTTCATATANTTTCCTGCAAACTGTAAACCATTATTGCTGTTTTATTTAAATAACTTTGTTAAGTGGATAACACAAAGTTGTTTAAGTAATAACCAAATAAACTTATGTTTAGAATTGCACTTTTATTTTATTCTTTTCTCGCACTGTGAGCCTGCCTATAACTCGTTTATAGAAAGAGAAAAATTTCGTCTCTTTTTTTCCTTTTTTTGGCCATTCGAGTCAAGAGTAATTTTCATACAGGTTTAATGTAAAATACTTTCAATAAAATTTAGTTTAATTCATAATTATACGTGTTTAGTTTTCTTAAATATTTCCGATTGCTCCGAAATAATAAAGGTTTAATGGTCGTTGTAAAAACAAACATGGTAATTTAATTTTATAAATTAATAATAAAAGATTACTTATTCTTGCTTTTAAGAAGGTGATTAAAGTTTTTAATATTAATTAAAGCGGGAAATACAAAACAAAGATTTTCGCAAAAATTTCGACAATTTTCAAGATGGCTATGATCAATGTGTACAGGCGTCCCTCGTATAACACGGTTCGTTCGTACCGTGCTATATCGAAACCGTGTTATACGAGACTTTTTTTATTGATTAATTTAAATTATTATATTGTTTATTTTTTTGTCGAAATTTTGCCAAACTTTCGTTCCAATAAAACCGCCAAATGAAAAAGTAAGTTATCTTCAAGTATTTAATCAAAAATAAAAATATTAAATATATTACGGTGAAGTATAAAAATTAAAAATACAACAAATGATATTTTCAAAAAATAATAAACACTATTATAAAATAAATAAAAACGTCTTATTAGAAACACAAAATTTACTAATTCAATTAATTATCCATTTTTACGATATTAATTTCTCGTTTACGAAATACACGTTTTGCACCATACGAACAACCAGCAGCAACATTTTGTCTAATTTCTCTCGCGCCACCGTCGACCGATCCTTAAGGATGCTTAGGTGGCGCCACCGTCGACCGATCCTTAAGGATGCTTAGGTGGCGCCACCGTCGACCGATCCTTAAGGATGTCGTGACGTCACTACCGGCGCGCATGCGCAGGATCAGGGGGAGCGGGGGAGCACTTCTGGTCCAGAACCGGCATTTATTATCTACTCACCTTTGTTTTATTTTTTTACGTCTTTTTTTGAAGTGGTCCTGCTTAAAATTAAGCAGGACCACTTAATATTAAGCTAGCAGCGCCACGAGTTTCTCTTTAATGGCAAAAAGTACAAATTTTTTATTGGTGGTACAAATTAGTACAAAATATGTACTAAATAATCCAATAGGTCTCAATCGGTTCTGCCATTATGGTCCTGCCAGCTTAAGAGAGATTTCTATCTATGAGCGATAACATTTATGCTTAAGTATACTGATGTATTAAATAAATAATATTAATAGTAAGACTTAAAAATAGTTTGTCTGTTATATCGGAATATACTATTAAAAAAATAAATAAAACACCATATTTTATTTTTTTTTCAATTATATTTTTAAATAATAAACAAAATACAACAAAATGTATGGCAATTTTGGCATTAAATGCTTTGGCATAATTTACTTTAAACCCATAACGATTAATAAGACGACTACTAGAAAATNCTATATAGTGCAAAAAAATAACTCTAAATAAATTGGACCGATCTGAACCATGTTTTAGAGTTGATTTTTACTCTATATTTTTTCCTGTGTACTATAATTAAAATTTTGAATATTAATCTTTAATATTTTAGAATTAAAAAATAACGCTTATTTTCCCCAAATACACCATGCGTGCAATACATCATTGGAAAGCTACAAATATGCTCTTTTCAGTAACACCATAATCTACTATAGTTTGTATTTAAAGAAATACAACTTTGTGTTGTATCTCAAAAATCATCAAATATTTTAAAATTTTTTAACGGCAGTATATTCTACTTAAAAAAGTGTCTTAAGAACGTATCAACCCCATTTCTCTAATTTCAAAATTAAACGAAATATGAGCATTTTTTTAAATCACGAAAATTTGACTTTTTGGCTATAACTTAAAAACAAAAGAAGATAGAGATTTGGTCTTTGCGGGATTGGATTAGTCTTTTAAAAAGAGACCGAGACATGGCACCTACTTTTTTCGTATCTCTTATAGTTTCTGAGATAGCCTATAATAACACCCAAATTTACCCACTCTGTACATGTCATTTCCGGACAGCCAGTATTTAATGGTAAAAGTTTTGTTTTGCTTTTTTCTGTGGAATTCCTCATTTTTTATTTTTTCGTTTTTGATTTGAGTTGCACGAGATGCTCCTTTTGTTGTATTAGTGTAAAATATAAAATGTAGAAATAAAGGGCTATAAAAATAATAATATCGGAAGTCCGATATATCGGTGCGTAATCCGTATATCGAAGTTTTATACTATTAGATATTATTAAAAAAAAGAAATAAAACACCATATTTTATTTTTTTTTCAATTATATTTTTAAATAATAAACAAAATACAACAAAATGTATGGCAATTTTGGCATTAAATGCTTTGGCATAATTTACTTTAAACCCATAACGATTAATAAGACGACTACTAGAAAATAACATAATAATAAAAATTAAAAACTCTTTTTTCAATTTTTCGATCGTAATTAAAAAAAAACGACAAGTATATCGTTTTAATCTTTTTTTAAATCGATCAATCAATCTAATTAATACTAAGAACCTCCGATTTGTGAAAAATACTCTGTAAAAATACTTTTACGACTACTACAAGGCAAAGTTAATAACACAGTTTTGTACATTGGTTACTTCATTTTTTTAATAATTATTTTCTCAATTTTTAATAATTAAAAAAAATTAAATTTACTAATTATCACTAGATACTTGACTATCTACGTTACTTTCATTCGCTGTTGTTTCATTGACTTTACTTAAATCAACAGCGAATTCTCCCGTATCTGGATTTACAAAAACCCTTTCCCCTTTATTATTATTTGAATTATTACCACCTCCTTCTAAATTTGTATCATCCAGCATTTTTTCATCGAAAACAATACTTTCTTCCGAATTACTACTACTATCATTGTTTTCGTCATCATCATCATCAATTTCTTTTTCATCTTCATCGTCATCATCGGATTGATTTAATTTTTTTGATGTCAATTTAATATTATCACAAACCATATAACCATCAATCTGGACTCCTTTTTGTTTTTCAGCAAAATGTAATTTGGTGTGGTCCCTTAAAACGTGAGCTTGTGGCACCGAATAATCACAATGTTCACAAGTGTAAGCATTATTCGAACCGTGTTTTTTCATATGATTATCTAACGAATCTTTACGTTGATTAGAATAAGGACAATTTGTACAATAAAAAAACTTTTTATCTTCTTCTGGGGATTTTTTCAAAACCGCCTCATCATTCATTTGGTGTTTTTTGATATGTTGTGTGTAATTTGCGTAATATTTCACCGAATAATCACATTTCGAACAATTATATTTACTTTTAGCGCCATGCAAACCTAAATGAATTTTATATTGTTCGCGTTTTTCAAAGGCACTCGGACATTTGTGACATTTATATCGTTTTTCTTTCGTTTTACCATTTTTAATGCAAGTTGGGTAAATAAAGTCTGGATTTCCGTGTATTAACGAACCGAATTGCGGATCTGAACGTGAACTCGAAGGAATCGCCAAATTATGACTTGAACTTTGATTTGAGGATGAATAATTTAATTGGGCTTCATTTTTTTGTTGAAACAATTCCGTTCCGGATAAAGGAATATTTTGGGTAAATTTCATTGTTTTATTTAAGGCGATTGAACATTCGGGTTCGTTTTCCATGTCAATATGACTTAATTTATTGTTTAAGTCGTTATTTTCTAAAGCAATGTTAATGAATTCGCCGCCAAATTCTTTTCTAAATACTTTTGGGGGCTGATAATCCGGATGTGGGCAATAAGTACCTTTAAAAATCGCCGTTCTTTTTTGATATTCATCGCTGTGAACGTTGTTATGAGCTAAAATATGCGGTTGTTGGCGGGCTGTGTAACTACAATGATCGCATTTATAAATTAGACGAGCGCCGTGGAATTTTAAATGTATTAAAAATTCGTTTTCTTTTAAAAATCTAGCCGGGCATTTATCGCAGAAATATAAGACTGATGATGAAGACTCAAAATTATTTTCCGGTTGATTCTCTTCGTTAAAATCAATCACCAAACCCATCATTTCTTCATCGCTATCATATTTATTGGAATTTCCCCCAAACATTTCCTTAATTTCTTTAATTTGTTCTTCATCCGAACGTTTTGAGTCAACCAGACCATGTATTTTACCATATAAACCTTGATGAACTTTGGAATGTGATGATAAAACACCAGCGTTGTTACAAACATAATTGCAGTCTGGGCAACGATGCTCAATTTCTGAGTTGGAGGATTTCATTGAATTCTTTTCTCGATTTCCGTGCATTTTTTCATGGTCTTGTATGTTAACTTTCCTTAAATTAACATGAGGACAATAACGGCATTTATACATCTTAGCAAACTTTCCATTTTTCGACACCCAAACTAATGGAATATCACCGCCATATTGCTCAACTTCCTCAAATTCGACTAAAATCCCATCATCGCTATTATCACCTCCATTTTGTTGCTTAAAATTATTACTTCCATGTACTTTCATATGTTGATGAAGAAGATGTCTTTTACTAACGTTATAACCGCATGTTTTACAAGTATATTGATAACCTTGGTGATTATGAAACTGTTTATGATATGAAAATTGTGATTTACTATTGGTATCATATGGACAAATTGTGCACTGGTAACGTTTCGGAATTTCGCCAGAATCGGGAATTCGTTCATTTTTATTATTTAAATAATCCTCTGGATCGCTAATACCGTGCAAACGTAAATGTTCTATATATTCATTCCGATTCGCGACGTGATAATTACATAAACTACAACTGGTAACTTGAGTTTCGTTTTTATCCAATTCATCAATTTCGATTTCTTGCGGTAAAATTGAATCTTCGTCTTCTTGTTGACCGTCTTCAACCTCGATTTTATCCGGACCATTTTTACTTCCGATTACCACCCTTATATCGCCGCTGTGCTTTAAACGGCAATGACGCTAAAAAATAATCAAGAAAAAAACACTTTGAGTAAATTCTAAATTGAAATTATTTCAAAAAATATATTGTAATCGTTTTTTGCTCGGTATCTCATTGTACTTTGATGATATTTATTAATTTTGAGGTTAGTTTGAATTGTTACAAGAATTTTTTGAAGAAAGCAAAGCTTCAGATTAAAAAAAAATTAAAGTGAAAATAAAAATTGTAAATGAGAATACGAGTGAAATTCAAAATGTAAATGTGAATTCAAATATGATGAATATTATTTATAAAGTTATTCAAGTTTGACAATACAGTAAAAGCTCGATATAACAGATTAATATAAGTTCGTTATATGAAAAATTTTTAATTTGCACTTTAAATTGTTTGAATGTATTTTATTAGTTAGTTTTACCTTTAGTTCAATAAAAATATACAACAATTAAACGCTCAATAACAACTAAAACAAGAACTAATACTACCAAGTCTAGTGTTAGTTCTAAGTGTAGTGTTAGTTCTACTTTTAGTTCAATAAGAATATACAACAATCTTGTACTGAAAAACAACTAAAACTAGAGCTAACACTAGCACTAAAATTAACACTAGACCTAGAACTAGAAACATTCGGATTTAGCCGTTTTAAAAGACGTACGGCTAAACACGAATGTTTCTAGTACTAGGATTAGTGTTCTACTTTTAATTCAATAAAGCTATACAACAATCTAGCACTGAATAAAAACTAAAACTAGAACTAACACTAGACCTAGAACTAGAAAGTTTCGGGTTAAGTTTCGGCTTCTTGAGGTAACGTTTCGAATTACATCATATACACTTCTGCTTGCAATATCTAGTCTTCTGACAATAGTGTATAATCTTCTACAAGCAGATCTTTCATTAGTCGTATTTTATCTTGTGCCGGTGATATCTGGTCTTCTGTCTACATTATTTAGCAGTCAGCCAGTAGTAGCTAGTCTTCTACCAACAGTAACTAGCCTACTTTAAGCAGGTCTTTCATTGGTAGTGTTTCTTCAAACCAAGAGTATTTAGTATTTATTATTAAACATTAGGAAATGTTTGGTCTTTCGCCAATAGTATCTAGTTTTCTACCTGCATTATTTAGTCTTCAGTCAACAGGGTGCACAAGCAGTATCTAGTCTTCCATACGCAGTATTCCATCAGCATTCCTGTTTATGGAAGAGTAGACCTTTTAAAAACAGGATCCAGTCTTCCATCGATAACATCTCATCTTGGGCCGGCGATGTTTAGCCTTCTGTCTGCATTAATTAAGTCTTGAGCCAGTAGTCTTTAGTTTTCTATAAATGGAATCTAGTCTTCCATTGGTAATATCTTGTCTTGTACCAGCAGTATGTGGTCTTTTCTAGCAGAATTTCGTCTTTTGCGGCAGCACTTAGTCTACTGTAAGCAATAGGTAGTTATCTGAAAGCAGTACCTAGTCATCTCTCGACAGTATCTATCCTATTATAAGCAACATTTCGTCTTGCATGAGTAGTATCTAATTTTCTACCAACAATATCCAGTCATATTATGTTGATTGACAATAAATGTATTATTATTACTAGTATTCTGCAAGTAGTAATCAACCCTCTATGAGTAGTATATAATCCTCCATTAGCAGTATGTAGTTCCTCATTGGCAGTACACAGGCAGTAAATATCTACTGACACACGGCTAAACCCGAAACTTTCTAGTTCTAGGTCTAGTGTTAGTTCTAGTTTTAGTTAATTGAAAAATATACAACAATTTAGCACTGAATAACAATTAAAACTAGAGCTACCGTGCTTGATCTATACAGGGTGAGTCAGAAAGAATGGGAAATCCAAATACCGGACACACTAGACATCAAAACATGACGATTCAAATGTCGGTGGTTTTCGATTTCGTTTTTCGAAATTTCTTGCTAATTTTGAAGCTTTTTGTACTATTATTATAAAATTTGATAGTTTTATGTTTTCGAGCATGAGAAATACGAATTTGAAACTTGTTTTGTAATTGTTCGTAGAAGGCGGTAGATACACACTGCCCCTTTGATAAATCAAATCATAAGTTTTTTGACTGTCGAGCTACGACCAATAAAAGCTACAAATCACAAAGAGCATTCAATTTTACATAAAAAAGGTACTTTATTTAAATTGGCTAAGTTTATCGGTTTTCGAATTATTTACATTTAAATGTTTAAATGTATTTTTGCTTCTAAAATTTTTATTTTTTAACATAAGCAAAGTTGGCTTATTTTTCCGCTTATGTTTCGACAATTGCTTGTTAATTATCAACATTGTTCTAATTTCCGGGTGCAATAATCATCTTTAGCAACAATAAAGTTATTACCAATATGAAAATGCGACGATATAACGAGTTTTCTAATAGTGATATGCGAGACATGATTTGTTGTTTTGTCCAAACCAATTTTAATGGTTTAGCAGCAGCCCAAGATATTTCGAGTTATATCCAAATCGAAGGCAACCTAATCATAACTTCCTTAGCAATCTGTACAATCGCCTTGGCGAAACGGGGTCTTTTCGTCCTAAAAGTAGCAGTGGTTCGACAAAAATAAAGAAGAGATCCTGGTTCGAGTTGCAGAAAATCCATCTGTCAGCATCTGACGATTAATTATTGCAACCGGAATAAGCCAATCATAAGTGTATAGAGTTTTAAAGAAAATCCGGCCATATCATTATACTCCCGTTCAAAATTTATTACCGCAAGATCCCCACTGATTTTCTGTTCACTGATGAAGCGACGTTTACAAGACGGGGTGTTTTCAACTGGAAAAACAATCATTTATGGGATGCCCTGAATCCACATACTATGAGGAAAAGACATTTTTAACACGAGTTTAAAGTAAATATTTGATGTGGTGTAATATCCAATATTTTCATTGGTCCATTTGAATTTCCTGCCAAATTAAATGGACGTGTGTACTTAAGTTTTCGTGAAGAACATCTTTACGAGCTTTTACATAATCTACCAGACCATCTAAAAGAAGATATGTTTATGCAGGACGGTGCGCCACCACATCATAGTCTTCCTGTGCGCATTTATTTAAATGAAGATTTTCCGCATCGTTGGATTGGTGTACAAAAACAAAATTAATTCACAATTAAAAGCAGATAACTTGGAAACCAGTAGAGTTAGACAATTTAAGCAAGACTACCTTTTTTGTGTAGAATTGAAAGCTCTTTCAACTCATACCTCAACTGACAAAATAGTCATGACTTGATTTATCAAACGAGCAATGTGTATCTAGCGCCCTCTCACGATCAATCACAAAACAAGTTTCAAATTCGTATTTCTCATGTTCCAAAACATAAAACTACCAAATTTTATGTTAATAGTACAAAAAGCTTCAAAATTTGTATAAGACATTTGTATAAGAGATGTTAGGTTAAATATATTTTGGTATCTAGTAGTCGGATTTCCCATTCTTTCTGACTCACCCTGTATAGTGCTTCCCAAAAGTAACCGATAAATGCGTTAAAACAATATAAACGGTTTATGGAAAAATCGCTGAGACGGGTCTAAGGATTTAAAATTTTTTCAGTCATTTTTATACAAGTTATGACGTCATTGCTTTTTTTTTTCAAACAGCAATCCCCCATTTTTATTACGGAATATGAAAATTTTTCTGAATTTGGTGCAGCCAAAATTAATATTAGCCAACATTTTCGAGAAAAATTGCCTTAAAGTTTCATGATTTGCCATTCATTTGAGGTAGAAAAATAGCAGTAGCCGTGCGTAACCATGGTAACCAGTTGCTTCAGATATTTTATTAAGGCCCACTTTTACCACCTCTTGATAAATTTATCCGGTAGATAAATTGGCGCTGTTAGCCAATGAGAGCGCTTAAAACCACTGTAACCATGGTAGTTACCTCTTAGATAGTTTATCAGGAGGATGGTAAACGTGGACCTTAGGCAATGATTAATTTTTGATATCTAAAACAGTTGGTTGCCATGGTTACGCATGGCTACTACTATTTTTCTATCTCAAATGAATGGAAAATAATGAAACTTTAAGATTTTTCTCAAAAATTTTCTTATGTAACCAATGAGAAAAAAATCCTTTTTCATATTCCGTAATAGAAATGGGGCATTGCTATTTGAAAAATATATCGATGACGTCATTACTCGTTTAAAAGTGGCAGAAAAAATTTGAAATCTATACCAAATAATTGCAAAAAATTTAAGTCTTCAGACCCGTCTCAGCCATTTTGCCACAAACTGTTGTTAATGGTTTTACCGAATTTATCCCTTAATTTTGGGGAAACCTGTATATCGTATAGACAACTCGGGGAATACCCTGAGCGCTAACATTTATATTTAAATATACTGATATATTAAATAGATAATATTAGTAGGATGGCTTAAAATACATATTTTGTTCGTTCTAACAAGATCCGTAATATCGAGATTTTACTGTACTTTAATTCGAAACTGTCGTCATCTAAACATCATATTTTCAAACTTGTTACTTTACAGAAAATATGGTGATTAAGATTTTAGTGTTCGTGCAATAATTAAGGCGATTTGTTAAAAGGATTTTGTTAAATAAATGTTATAACAATTTATTAAGTCTTTAACACACTCTTTCAATTAATTTCTTGTAATTTTAAGATGAAATAATTAAACACGTTACATATCTAAGTTCTTTTATGAGTATTTTATGGAAAATCTGACATTTTCCTCTTTCCTTGCGCTAAATAGCTTTGAGGAGTAACGATTTTAAATACCACATTTTTTGAATTTGTATTTGAATAATTCGCATACTTCAAATGGTGACAATATTGACAATTATTGCCAACTTAAATATAATTTCTACATTAACACAAATATAACATTATCGTTAAAAAATATATTTTTTAAATAACTCCTTTTCGTAGTGTTTAATCTTTGTTAATAACTTTCTAACAGCACTTCCTTTTCTTTACTTTGTTTTAACGATTTTGTATAGGATATAGTTTAAACTCGTATTTTGCATAGAATACGAAGAATTTTATGAGTTA